ACCTCTGCCAAGGCATCTTGGTCACGAAAATCTGCCAGAAAAATTATATATATATATATATATATATATATATATATATATATATATATATATGCGACTCAAGCAGGCACTGTCACTACCTTGAAATAACGTTGACAATATATTCTCGAGAAGTGATAAGCATCTGGTGAACCAGTTACCGACCTCAGTGAAGAAGCGAACAACAATTGCGGGTGAATTTCCAAGCGACATACGAGTCAGAGTAATTGGGGTTTCACAATTGACATTTCTGTTGTTCATATGTTCAAATGAACAGCGACGTCTACATGAACACCAGGAAGCGTTTGGCAAAGGTCCTGTAAGTACTAGACAGGAGTGGATCATCTCTTTATGAGTTAGTGCTGGTGACTTTAAAAAAATCATCCCCCTGGAGCTGGAACTCGTGTAAATGAAGGCTTAAGCCATCTCAATCGGCCTGATAAAATTAGTGAGGTTTGAGAGGCTGTGCACAGAATAGGCCTGAGATTTAAAGTGCATTAGACATTTTGGCGAGACAAATAATTTCTTTCTCATTAACAACCGTGCAAACTTGCAATATCTCCTCTCTCCCAACTTGATAGTACCGTCCTAGTGACGTGCGTTTCTTCGTAGGTTGCAAACGGTTCTCTTGGCTCGTTCGATTAAAATCTAGCTTTTCGTCTCGAATTTGGGAGGTATGTGAAGCTCTAGGTTGATGAGTTTATTTTTCTAAGGTGTTGGTGTTGTGGGGGGCAGACCACAGAGCGTCATACCAATCCATTTCGCCTCAGTTGTTGAGCCGTCCATGGGGGCTTGTTTTCGCAGCTGATCGCAAGTCTGATCGAAGGTAGGCAGGTTCGCGTTTGCGTCTGCCTGTGTGAGTGCTTGTTTTTCCTTCGTGTAAGCGGTGAACCATGCTCGCTGTCCCAATAGCGGGCACGGCCTCCCAAACCCATAAGAATCGCGGATGGTTCACCCTCTTCAAAAGCCCGGTTTGTCAGTTTTTGTTTGACCGTCTAATCGCAGCCAGTTTTATCAGGCGCTGTCTGCTGTGGATATGTGATCTATCCAATCGTGAAGTGCGTATATTCCCCGGAACTTTTACTTCTTAAACGGCCTCAGTAGATGGCACTAGACCACGACTAGTTCGACCAGTGATATGCACACACTCACATTCCAAGAAGCACGTCACTCAATTTGCTCTATAGTCACTTCCAGTATGGGCTGTTGACGATATCCATCATGTCTCGTATGAGGACAGTACTAGCATGGCTGAAAGATTTTATCCTATGATTTCTGTCTATAATTCACCAAATAAAACAATGACGTCTCTTATCAGGTGGTAGACGTGACCCTAAAATCACCCGACTTCGGCTACAATCCCGGTATACGAACTGGATAAGATATCATACGTACGGGATCGTAGATTCCAAGTCAATGACCATTCTGCCCACTGGTAAGGATCAAACGGATTCGCAGTCGTAACAAACAACGTCTGCTATTTAGTATGAGAAAACAAATGCACTTAAACTCGGGGAGGAGGCTAACAAATAACATTCCTGATCCGTTTGATCCCGTTGTGGTGCGGGCTTACCGTGACCGAAACGCATTAGAAGCATTATTACTATCAATAGACTACAAACTGGAGTCAGTTAATTTAACAAAATGACCATCTTTTCTTGCCTGACGAATTGACTGCATGTGTCTGTCTAGTGCATCCGAATATTATCGCCCAAGAGTGTCTAAGGGTTATCCTATCTGAACTGTGGACGCTTACAGTGACCGACCTCTCAAACTGTGTGCTACACACTCGACTGTCATCCATTAAACCAGACTTTTCCTCAAGGATCAACACATAGCTCTGTGGAAACTCCATGCAACAGCCACTTTCAGCCATTCAATTACGCTTAAGAGGTACGCCTAATACAGTTGAGAAACATCTGGTTAAAATGTATCTAAATATTCAGCTCGCCGAACAACTGTATGAATTTTGACGCAAACCTCCAGAAGATCTGGAAATGTCTCGGGCAGACTGACTGACTGGCAGAATTTATCTCCTCCTGACAAAAACTGACGATAGGTGCTTTATAGATCAGATGGTTAATTCAAGACTTTATGATTGGTTTGACGGCAGCTGTCAGCATACAAATTTCACACCAATTCACTTATCTGAAGCAGGAGAAGAAACAACAGGAAGTAAAGAATGCTCAAAATGACCAGACTCAGCAACTCAAACGAATGTTGAAAAAAAGGGATAATAATTCGCCACTCGGCGGCAATATAGTGCATTGTACAATTCTTTGAAAACCTATGACCTAAGCGTCAAACTGACCCATTCTGTCAGGTTGAGAGTACAAAATTGAAGCAGGCGTCATCTAGAAAGATATTTGCAGCAGAACACCTCAACTATGGTTAACAGACTACGATAACGCACTTCAATAATAAAAAATTACCTGGCAGAAAGAATAACCATCCTGAAACTCAGAGGTGACTATCTAATCCTACTGTTCTGTAGAGAGGACTACGGTAACATCAGCCTGCCGGGCTATGCAGGAGAGATCTTGGAAATAATACTACTCATGGAAATACCCAAACTGATAGAGCTGACAGTTGATAAACGACAGTACAACAGTCCGTCACATTTCGTAAATCTCATCCCAAACCTATACGATGGAACTGAAGCAAAGAGGAGAAGGTACGTTTTGACTTCAAAGGGTTTTGAAATTCGCAAGCGTCCTTTCCTGTGTCATTTTCTCTTTGTCTAACGGTCATCGTTGAAGCGGCTGTCGTAAGTGACGATTCCGACCCAATAGATATCTGTTCGGTGGTGGGCGGTTTGATGTAAGAAGGCTGTTTGCATCGTTTTGTGATTGAGGTCGATTGTGTATCAGAAAGACCAGATGCCTGAAATTAACCACTGAATGCCCCAAATCTACTAGGACCCTCAACTCTACCAGACGCTGACCGGACAGACAACGCCCCCCTCAATGTGCAGCGCGTCACAGGATTGAATCAAAGCGAGATACTGTGAGTCAGCGCTGGATCAAAGTCGCGCAGTGTCCCTCCATTAAATTGTTTGAGGCCATTGTACTTTCACGCTCGCTTGTTCGCAATAAAACTGTCGTGTTCCTTATCGGCGAGTCTTTTTCCGGCACTAGGCACTGGAGCGGCAATGGCAGTCAGATATAACTCTATTTAATCTTACATATTATGATAAGCTGCCACACCGAGCTTGAAATCTTGCGACTGCTGCTGCATATTTACGTCTCATAGTTCTTCTGACACAGACACCGAGTTTGGCCAATTTAAGTGTATAGAATGTGTATTCAACTCTGTCCACTACACTCCGAAATTTATTATCTGTGACCCAACTTGCACCGACTCCGTTCTTGTGCTCTTTCAGGGCTTCCCGTTCACAGATCCTGACACTGAGAACACTGAACCGTCTGGTATAATTTATGACCTGTTTGAGAATGCGGAAAGCTTATCGGCTGTTGACAACTTCTCTCTGGTCCCAATGTCAAATTGGTTTGAGCCGGTGCAGCTCGACCAAACTTGGAATATGACCGCTCTGGAATCAGGTTCATTGGGGTGCATTGCAAAGGTATGTTTTACGGTGACACCAAATAATCGTCCTTCTCAAATGAATAGAAGTAAGTTCAGCTTCGATTTTGTTCATCTTTTACTGAGGTTGCAAGTACGATGTATTTTGTTTTATGAGTATACCGAAGAGGTGATCTGTAGATTGTTTAGTTAAAAGGTTTTCATGGTTTGATCCGATATTTCTTCGTATTCGATTACTGTGGATAAGGTCAGAGATTTTAGAAAAATATTGACGTCGACAGTATTAAGTTCATAAATACTGGGGGTGATTTGGTGGGGTTTCGAGATTTCAGTTTCTCAAACATGAGGACTTTTCTGGTTCTCATTGCAGACAGTGAATCCAGGCCATACAAGGGGGCTGAAGAGAATGAGTGGCTGAATTGCAACTCTTCATATTTCATCCTAAGCATACGATATTTGTAGTTAAATGTATATCTCACAGGGCATCAGCAGTAAATTTGGTCACAATTAGGCTTCCGTATGTGCTGACATGACAGGGTGATTTTTAACTCACAGATTTAAATAGTTGGAAACAGCTCACCGTGATCCACCGGTCTGATGACAGGTGCAGATGGGTTTGTATGAGTAAAGTGTTACCTTCAAAGTGCTTGTTATGCTGAAGCTTTGAAACTAGGACATCCTCTCAGTTGGATCTTTCAGTCCACATCGACTGCTTCAAACCATTTGCTGGTTGGATTAACTCTATACTTTGTGTATCTCAAATAAAGGCTACCGCATTCCTGTTTGCTAGTTTTAACTACCCGCATTTGCTCCGAACTTGTCTATGTGCTCAAGACTGACACGCGCACCAATAAGAGTCATGTCCGAAATTACGAGGAATTCCATTCACTGTCCCACCATACGGACACGAACGCGGGCAACACCGACAAATCAACTTAGTTACGTTCTCCAACTATCACGATGAGTGGCAGTCGATGTATAGCGGCTCCGAAATCGGAGATTGTTATTACCTTGCCTGAGTAGATAAAGACGTAAGTTTCAAGTATTGGGTGGTGAATGTGAAGATAACTTCCAGGGTCACCAGGCCCCTCCCTTGTTCCAAATACCCGTTTTGAGAAAGCCTCGGGGTGAGAAAAGTGTGGATTGGTCAATTTCACGCCCTCTGTGGGAACACACCCGCTTCGGAGTCACTCTGGCTAGTTGGGCAACAGGTCACTGAACGAGTTCTCACGGTCATCCACCACCACCATGCCGCTTCAGAATGTAAGAACAATTCACCTTGGTTTGAAACCGAGAGCGTTCGAAAAAACGCGTCAACGCAACGATGTCCTGTCCGACTGAATAACTGACGTTCAGCAATTAGTTATATCACCGAACGTGTAACCAATTTTGACAGGTTATTGGGTGAGTCAGCATTCATGCTTTTCGGTTTGCCCTGACGGAATCGACAGTTTCCCCTATGAAATCGAAAGCCCGGAGACCTGCCCTCAGAATGATTTCCTGTGCCAGATATCGGTACAAGCCTATCGGCTGTGCTATTTGCTGACCATGCGCACTGGCAGCTTGTCTCAATTACTACATGAATCACACCCTTAAGACTTTTTAGTTTCAGTTCCCTTCCCTGGACTTAACTGCTCGTCTGACCATTGATCCTGTGGTAGTCGTTTGATACTCGTATTCGGGATATGGAATGATATGACTGGGTTGAAACGGTATTGGCATCTCAGGTGAAGATCGCTACGGGGCATGTTTGGATTGCGCATTTGGAATAGAGAGAACAGCGCGCACAGCATGTCGAAGCTAGACGTCGAATTTTTAATCAATGGCGCGAAGACCTAATGTTAGAAATGGTTTCAGAGTGTGTGACCAACGAAATGGAGTTGAACATGTACAATAGGCATGCATACTCACGGTTGTCTGCATGATGATTTCAAATCAGTAGCCTATCGCTTGAATAATGATCTCTGAAGGAAGTGAAGTGAGACATGGGCGACGTGTTGTGTTTGCTCTCTAAGCACACTCGGAGAATAAGACGATAGTTTGGCTCGTCATAACCTGTGTTCAAAGTCGGACGAAGGGATGATAATCAAGGGAGATGCTAACCTACTTGGGCTATCGAATTCGAGGCCAAAACCAGCGCATAATTTGCTTACTAGCTGGATATCGGCTTGTAAACATGAAAATTTTTTACGTAGATTGGCTGTAGCAGCTGGTTGGGAATTGGGAACTACAGCTGACTGGTTTATATGTGACAATGATCTCGGTCACGTTAAACATGAAGATCTGTTCCCCCGGCGTATAACATCCATTCAGCCAATTGATTTCCACACCACGTTTAAGCCAACTTTTGCTGCGACCAACTTAGATTCTGTACACACCGCCGATGGCTTAGCTTGTCCACCTTCGGACTCCTGGATCCTTGATTTTTTTATAAACTTCATGGAACACAGCAAGAGTAAAAGTGTCCTCTCCTGCTATTTCAAGATATGGTGCATGATTTTTACGTGCATCCAGCAGAGGAACAAATTTCGTCCTTTTGTTCGTTTGATCCAGTGAGGTGCCTTTGAAGTGACGTCGGATACGTTTGTTTAAAATCCGCAGGTCAAACTCGCTAGGGTCGATCTTACACCAAACACAAACGTTCTTGGTCGAGTGAATAAGACGTGTCTCCTTCCACCGTTTGCTAGTGTTTTTCACAACAGTGCAGCTATCAATCGGCTCTACTGAACCGACGGAATCTGTTTGAATCACAAAAGAATCGGCCATAACTGCTGAACTGCCGATGAGAACATGTTTATTTTAACTTAAGTACGCGCGTCCAGCCTTCTGACAATTCAGACGATCATCCTAAAGTGCTACTTTGTCAGTCTGCACCGGTAGTACCTGCCGTCGGAACGAGGTGACATGCTACAACAGACAAGGACAGAACGTAAGTTCAAATCATTTGACAACAAACCTGATGAATCAGTAAGATGAGAAAACCCTGCACCTCTATATTGCGTTAGCACGTCATTGTGACCATTGACTGAATCTGCAACGCAGTTGATGCGGTGCTAGTATTTTTAATCCAAGACCATGCTCAATCCCGAAAGCCTCGTAAGAATGACAGGGGCACCCTAACAACAACAGACTTACTGGTGCAGTCTCTGTAGTGGTTTTGACCCAATTTAGAGGATTCTTTGCCGAGAGACTGACAATATAGCACAATGCAGAGACCGAATTTGACTTGTGTAAACCCACGGTCAAGTACCATTATACTGAGTAATGGCATAAAGAGATGACACCGTGACAAAAAAGGTTTCATTTTTAGCCCGCCGATTTGTGAACATGTTTATGAAAGCCTCACTGACCTAATTTAGTGTACTTTTGGAAGGTGATTGTGGCATTTTTAAACTTACGAACACTAGGTATAGCGACCTAACCGCATATTTTATAGCAAGACAACGACAGGAAAATTTCCATCCACTTATTTTGCCTTCCTTCAACCTGACAGCTTAATACGCCTAATGGAAGCGATCTGTGTTTATTTGTACAATCGAGGGCTACCTTGGAGGCTTTAGAACTCATGCCGGAGGCAAGCAATTTAACAATCACAAGTGTCCCTTGGATGAGTCTAAGGCCAGTCCTGCTTGCAGCGTGTACAGGATCAGCGTGCCCGTGGAAGATCGAGCCGTCCATTCTTGGTGCCATGTACTTTATGCGTCCATTTCATTCCTCTGTTTGGTCACTGTTGCTGCTCTACAGTCTTACGGTGAGTGACGGCTTTTAACGATAATGTTTCGGTTCATATTCTTGCTGGGATTCTTCCTTTCCATGAGGAACTATGTATAAAAAAATCAGGGAAACTCTGTCGTAGACCATCATCTGACAAGTAAGAGACTTGGCTAAAATTTCGGTTGCCCTTTACGTCAAAGAACTCGAGAATGAATGCCGTTAACCGGCTACCAGGAATGCCTTGGAAAATTTGTTAACTCAATAAGTTATAATCACCCTACACTGTTGATCAACATTGCTGTTATCCTGTTCTCTGAACTAGGCGGCTTGATTACAAGCCTTTCGCCACCAATTGGGTAACATCATTGGTGCGTAGAGGAGGTTGTCGAAGCGTTGATTTCCAGGCATGTGCCGCAATACCCAAAGCATACATACCGACGCACTACGGCCACAAGTGTACCTATCACACACCAATAACGAAACTCTTTCATCCAGAAAATTCTATTCTACGAGCGAAATCACAGTTTTTGTGTATGACCTGAGTTGCCGACACATCTATCAATGTTGAAATCTATGGCCGTGCATAATTTGACACTGAAGATATGCCATACAATTCATTTTGTAAATTCCCACTAAAATAATGATGTGGTATACGTAGATAAAAGGACTGAAACATTGTCTATAAAGGTCTGCTACAGGGATGTAGTATTACGTGGTATTTATTGCGGAAAACCTCAAATAGTAGTTGTGACCTTGGTGTCTGACCAGAGCAGTGTGCCAAACGACATTTCTTGGAAAAGCTCAAGTCGTAAAAGACAAAAAATAACCGAAATCATTTAACTCGTATTACTGGATCACCACTTCTCGCACCTCAACAGGAAATATCTAACACACTTGAGACATGGTCACTCAAAACGGACGTGTTTCGTGCGAGCTATGATCAGTCACATTCTATTCAGCTCTCACAACCCCTGGCCAAATTTGGTTGAGAATTTCGCAACTAAAAATTACTTATCTGTGTGCATTATTGACGAAAAAGTAAATAACCGCATGGTTTTGCATCGTTTCAACCACGTAGTAATTTCCGGTCAGTATCTTGAGTGGTGTTTGCTTCGTCTTTTCTTTTGTCCATAAATCCGATCTTTGTGGTCTTATGGAAGGCTTGTTATTTTTTATGCGTTTGTCCGCTTACCATATTTATGGGCTTTACAATCTGAATAAATTTCAGTCAACAACCTCGCCAGTATGATTACACCACTGCACTACTGCTACATCTTTGCTGGCACTCTTCCCATTTGAATCATCTGTGTAGATGCCTGGATGGTACCACGAAAACCGCTCCAAACATTGAGTAGAACTGAGTCCCATACCTAGAGAGTCAGATGGGTCTCAGATGGGTTCTTGTCACATTGTGATCGTCAGTCCAACGATTGAAAGATTCCGATCAGAGAGCTGAAGCGTGGAATATCCAACTGTCGTTATGATGCTGCTATAACTGGCCACAGGAGTCGTATTCGATATGTTCATTTTTTGATCAAGTGTCCATGCACTCTCAATTAACGAAAAGTTGGCGTATATAATAAGTTGATATGCCTTGCCTTAGATAGGCGTGCGATGGTGCCAAAAGTTTCTACCCATGACCAAAACGAACCAAACCATATGTGGCCAAAATAAGTCACACAGTTATGATCTGGGAGTGTATTGTCGGTGACTTGCTTGCACATACCATCCGAGTCGAAGATTGCCGTCGTTAGTCGTTTTTGTCGCTGTCATGCTGGCATTTGCGCTGCGTAGTAGGGACGCTGCCTTCTGTGAACTTCTTTGCGCAGGCCAAAACAAACTACTGGCTAATTCTAGCTGACCTTGTCTTTTCAGTGAATGAGAGCATCAGGTGACTCTTGAAAAACACTGCGAAGTTACATCCATTTACTTATTCCGGAATTATCTGATGATTACTAGTTACTAGCTGAGAATGCTGAAACTAATCGACGTAGTTCTTTCGGTTTTTTTCGCATCTAGCTAGTTGGTTAAGCCTGTTAGCCCAGACCGAATTTCTCACTACATATTTCGTCCCGAGGTTCCTTGGCGTAGTTACTTGCAACAAGTAGGTGTCCAAGCACCGTGCTCAATAAGGGCAAACGTTTGTGTACTTTAGAGACACACTGGGCTTTAGAATGTTGGAATCTCGCGAAATTAAACGGTAAGTTCATTAGGATCATGAAAACACTATTAGGCTTGGGTAGACTGTTTGAGAATGACTGCTTCAGTTTTATGATCAACAGAACAGCCAAACAACGATATGCTTGCGCCACTAAATCCAGTGTGTAACTGGTGAAAAAAGCTTATGTATTTATCGTTTTTCGGAAAAGTTCGATGAAAATCGGTAGATTTATTTCTGGGCAACTTTCCGCTTTTGACACAAAAGATTCGTCAGGCCAAATTACTAGGTTCCGAGGCTCGTCGAGATTCAAGGCGGAAGAAGAACCAATCAGCCAAGTCAAGCAAAATCCCTGTCGGCCGAGGGATTTTTGTGTGTTAGGGTGGGTGAACGAGTGTTGGGTCGATGGGGAAATCTACATGTGTTTGGGTCCAGCCTAGGGTCTAGTTCTTCTGGTTCGGTTCATTTGAACGTCGTTTGAACTTTCCGTCCGTCTGTGTGTATGAGCTAGTGCTAAGATAGTTGTACAAGAGGGATGCTGTGATCTTTGGTCGGATTGGTATTTCCACCACCCCCCACTCCAGTTTTTGCTAATGATTCTACGTGGATTGACAACCACACAGTTACGTGTCAACTCGGCTTATCTAAGACCGCTTTCCATACGCTCGCCAGTTCCACATCCTCGATTCTATTCACGCTGTGATGCTTAGTAATTTCCACCACCTCGGCTATCAGCCGCTGTGGTGTGAACCGCAGTCCCCGTCTTAAAACCTCCACATTCTCCAGACCTATTCTATGTCCCTTGTCTATTTATGGTTTGCTTCTTTGAAACCTACATCTGCAGCCACGTGATCCAAGTGCCCCTACTGGATTTCCCAGCTTGTGTAAAGACTTGTTGCTCTAAGAATCCTCTGTTGGCGAATGTCCCTCAGTCATCTTGTATTCAGAAATCGATTTCGCAATACAATGTCGTAAGAAAGATTTGCTAAGATGGTCGTCATTTTTCTACAGCCACTACCAGCAGAAGAGATCACCCCTTAGGAGGTATAATTATTCAGGAGATCCACCGATCACGAGTGGTAACTTTTATTCAGAACCGCGAGGTGCACTTCACTGGTTAAGTCCATTTCAGGAAAAGATCGCTTAACGGAATCCCTTCTAGTTGTTGCCACATGGGCGTGTGGAGATCCTTGTGCTATGGTTTTCTGACTGGTATTCACTTATGCATTGAAGTGGACGAAATTGTTGTAACGAGAGCATTCTCGAACACCGTACAGCATAAGCACAGAGCTGTAATAAACATTTGCCTGTAACGTGCGTTTACCAACGCATTTTTCACATGCACCTTCCGATCGATTTTCTTCAAGACGTCTACTTCAAAGATTAAAAAAAAAATTTTCAAAATCGACCCAAGACTTGTTCAAATTTTCGAAATTTAGTTGCTTCACTTATGGTTCTATTTCAGACAGCTGGTCTTCTGTTTGTTTTCGAAATGACGCACACATATCGATTTGGCAAGAAAGTGGTACAACCAGCCCCAGATGAAAATCGATTCACTCTGTATGAGTCGTTTATGTGCGTTGCACTCGCCATGTTTCTACAACGTGAGTTGTCTTTTTATGTGACTGCCAACCCGTTCACTTACCGTTACTCACAAAGATTTCTGTGAAATACGTTTAGAATATTGCTTCAAGGTAAAACTAAATAAATTATTCCAGATGTGCGGTAGCTGTGTGAAACGAACTGTTTTAAGATCGTGGGCAGAGGGATATGTTAAACAATTTTCTCACTATCTTGAAATTCCACAAATTTACAGGGTTAATTTTGATGGCTAGTGCAGGTGAAAAGCAGAAGGCCTTCTCTGCGGAGCTTTTTATTAGAAAATGCCATCTGAACAGTTACAGACCATTGGACAGGGAAGACAAACTCTCATATGCATCTTGTTTACAAAACTGAATATCCATCTTCTCCTTCAACGCGTCTTCCTGAACTTTCCTGGATTTTCGTTGACTGTTGCTCAAATCCAAGCAAATTCTACAAAGCGACTCCGCAAATTCCGTAATAGATCTCACTTTTCAAGAGACACAAAGCGGATTTACGAGAAAACATACTACTCGCATGCCTCCCCCACCAGTAGTATCACTGTTACACAGGTAAAACCAGTGCATACAGAATGACTTAGGTCATTCAGCCTGTCAGGTACTAAATTCTTGCTTCATGTGGTTGATGAGCTAAAAGTCCACCGCAATACTGCGAAAATGTTGCCTGAACTATGAGTGATCATGTGCAAGTATCAGCGAGCCACAATTGTTAGCAACAAAACACCTCTTGTGTTGTTTTAGAAGAATACTTTTGAACATGTAAGGCAGAGGACTACCGAAGCTGACGGAAGACACCCGAATGAAATAATTTTTTGTCAACATCACGGTCCTGATTAGCAACATTTTTCCCAATAGGAGCAGCTGGGTAGCGCTTCTTAGTTGTTTTTTTCGCCCAGAATACTTGCAAACGTATAGAATACATTTCGCCGCTGGCAGAAAAGAAACCACTGACGATGCTTCCTCGATTGAATGCGATAGTAGATATTTCGATTTTTTGAAAAACACATTTATGAGATGGCTCAGTTGTGCTTATAAGCAATGTGTGTATAGCTCTTTCGTGTGTAGTAGGTGAGTCTGCTTCTGTTAGCTGCGATTTGACCTCCGGAATGGGAGCGCTTGAACCTTCCCTCGTATTTGGCCAAAGAGGCTCGACCGACATCCGTGATGTACCAGGAGTCAGTTTCTACCCAAATTATCTGACTAAGTTTTGGAGGTGTAGGACCTTAAATGTTTTGCAGCGAGATATCATTAGACTGGTTTTCCTCACATGTTGCTCCTTTCAGCACATTCATTGTTTACATGTACTATCTGTGTACGTATACTCAAATTCACCTTCGCCAAAAAGAGAACACTGCTGTTGTCAGATTAATGATGGTTAGAAGCCCTGTCTTCTTCATGGAGTTCAGGGCATGTGGAACGCCAGTTTGAGTTGCATCGCAGGGGAGACTCGTGAAGGAGATTGCGTATTGTGACAGAGCATCTTCAGTCCCACAAGAAGTATGATTTCGCCGCGCTCAGCAGGCTACTGACTAGCCTAAAACCGTGGATCGTTCCTCAGTGGCCACCCTCTCATCCGTTTTGAGACCGATAAGGTAGCTGTTTTTCTGGTCACTAAGTCTGACAACATGTTCGAAACTCTTCATCACCAGTAGTGGGGACATCGTCAATGGGAGGTTGGGTGGGTACTCATGCCTTACTTTTCTGCATGTGTATAGATTCTGAAGCTATACGTCCCACTGGCTGACTGAAAAACAGTTTTGCGATTTATACTGCAATGTGGTGTCAAAACTGTCGGGCTTGGTAGACCAATCAAGAGCTATTCAATCTACGACCATTTAACACAGCCGAGATACCATATATCAAGATACTGCTGTTTATGAGGGTCGTTGAACCCCCGACGATTTCCGGAAACACGTCAGCAATCGAGTTTCTATCGAGGTATTCCAACCTGCAAATGTACTCTCTGGTTTCATGACCTGAAAATGTGTTGTGGCGTGGTAGATTGTCCAGTGTACAGGACATCAACCCAATCTGCCCTAACCTCAAATTATTGTACTTATAAACTATGTTGGAACTTAGCGAAATACACTCATTTGCAAACTAATTTGGTTTTTTGAGAGACTCACCTGGAGCTCAGCTGAATCTCTTGTTTGTAATGTTTCCAAGCATTACAAATATGTTGGAACTGCTCATCAACTTTACCTACAGGGAACCTTCTCCTCTGATTCACCTTGTTGTGTTCTCACATTTAGATCACTTCCTTTGTTACCGTTGATTAATTTTCCGTGAAAGTAGTCAATTAGTGGGGGTTCCTGCATAGTTAGTTTCTCATATGAGTATCTGAATATATTCACCCAAAATACAGTGAAATGGTTCTTTGTAACTAGTTAAGTGAGTAACAGCATAGCAGTCGCCAACAAAGGAGACCTTATGTTGTGTAGTCGATCAACTTGGCAAACAGACTCGAGCTATTAGTGACCCGTTTCCACCAACAACCTTGAGAGAAAATGTTGATGACCCCTGTGATATCTATCTTACTGGGTTCTTTATAGATGGGCTGTTGTTTTTTTATCCCTTATTCATAGTTAAGCACAGTATAAGAGGGAAATGGTAATACCTTCACTATATTACGTTACAGTAAAAATAAGTTGAACATCAATTATTTTCCAAAGAGTAGTGATTATTAAGAAGTTAAAACTAATAAATTGTGGCGCGTTTCGGCCTGTTCCATAAGATAAAACATACTCAAAAACTTCTGATGTGTAGGGATAGTTATACTGCCACATATCCAATGTGTGAAGCTGATCTGACTATCTGATTTGTTAGCCCGCTGGTCAGCTGAACTGCAGTTATCCGGTAGTGATCTGTAAACGATAATCTCTTCGTGGTCGCTCAGTACCACAAAATCCGAAGCGCATACTGTTTATTTTGACCGATGGTCCAAAGTACGCTTATTCAGAAAGTTTCAGAAACACAAGCGGATAGTACATTATCTAATCTTGGAACCAGCACCTTCCATTTCGTACATGCTCCATTTGATCATCAACTAAAGCTTTCTTTTACTATTCCCTATTGTTGACACGTCAGCCTTTCACAAGCATCCCAAATCCTGGGCAGGTATGATCCTCACCGTGTTCTGGTACGCGTTCTGTCTGATTTGCATCATAACATACGCCCTCGGAGTCTCACGATTGTTGTTTCAAACCGAAGAGCAAGTTGAGTCTCATAACTCATTGACAATCTCCGTGGAAAAAGAATTAGCCTGTGAGCGCCATAGTTTTTGGTGTAATCTGCTTCACGATCAAATGCACATGCCAATAACCGAGGTTGACCTTCCAAGGGATGAATCCGGATACATCGTTTTATCATCGCTAGACTGGCAGAAACCGCTACTAGTCGACCAGTTGACTGCCAGGCTGATCGTGTATCAAACCATAAAAGTGAACGAAAGCGGAAGCAACATGTATGTTCACTGGCTTCCAGCACATTTCGACTGCCCTGGGGGTACACAGCAACCACCTTTCCCTTCATTATATTTGAATTTCGCTGCAGCCTGGCCGACAGTGATACGTTCTGTAAATTACTACATCAGAGTAAGTGTGGTGGATGGACATGAACCTTCTTTCAGTTTTAGTTGACCGGATAACTTTATATAATTCAAATTTTTGAGTTTTCTCCAACACAATTTCATTCCCAGTGGCTCAATATCATAAGCGGGCCAAAGCGGTAGCAGAATCTTCCTCGCGTTAGAAACCTGAAGATAAAATGATAGCTGTTCCATACAGTCCATGTTGGTCAGAATTTTTTAGAAACCTACAAATTTAAGCCTACCAAACATTGGGTTTTTCTATGTAGAAAAAGTCTTGAAAGTTCTTTCAGAGTTGCGGTAAAAATCCTAATAAACACATAAAACGCGAAAACACCGAATCTGATTCACCAATAAATCCGTTTAATATCTGATGTTACCCACGTCCTAATGCTTATAATTTCGTATCAATGACCTACGGATTCCTAATTAATACATATTACTAATAAAACATGTGAAACATTCCTTCAACTGTAACACCCTTCTGGTGTTTGGTTGTCATGACACCCGAAGGAAGCAGGGGGACTTTCATACTCTCAGGGTGCCCAAACCTGGACGTGATCAATCTAGATGCCTGAGTTGGGGTCGAACTATAGACTTTTTGGTCCGTAACCTCGTGCCCTAATTGCGGAGCTATATTTGGCTCAAGCAAGAAGCGATTTCTAAAGACCGCAAAGGTAAAGTTCATTAAAAAACAGCACACTGCGCCCGGGCGCACTCATTTTCAGAAAGATCAGTTGTTGAACTTTTCGATAGGTCCGGTTGACAACCGGCATGAAAGTGAAATAGACGAGAAGAATTAACCGCATGAAGCTTTTTTCCATTCGCTTTCTGATACTATCATTTATAGGCCATGAAAACTCACCATCAGTTTACAGTGTCAAAACACAACAGAAACTGCTTCTGTCCCCAGTTCATCTCGTAAACGTAGTTACTTTTGGAACATATCAGTTTGACAATCCGAAACTGATATTAGTGTGGACGTCCAGTGGCTGAAGAAACAAGCGCAGCGGAAATGGCCTAGTGTAAACAGAATAGAAGGCGTAGGACTGGCCCTCCTGTAAGAAACGGTTCTGGATGAGCCGAAGTGATAAGTATTTCTTATCATGGAGGGAATGGTTCGGACGTGAAGAACATAGTCTAAGCTGATCGAAACTACACATGTTATCACGCCCTAACCTAAACATCATGATCATAAGTAACCCATGCATACCAAAATGGTTAATGAAACGCAATATAAAACCTCAGTTGAATCGTCCTAAGCCGGATGGTTAGGGACCCAAGGAAGGCCAAAATTACTTCAAATCCTCCCATTAATCAGAGACAAGATTTAGAAACCCTTACAAACCAACAAATCGCCTAACAGACACTCCATAGTGATTTGGTGCGCCAGTCTAAATGGCTCTTCCTGTTTCTTCTTCCGTTTACCTTAAAACCTGACCAATCGCCTAAAATGGTCTCACGGAATTACCGAAGTATGTTCATTTGCATAACAATTTGGTTTTGACGGGAGGCTCGCCTGGAACCCAGCTAAATTTCTCGTTTATGATGTTTTTAAGGTTGCTGAAAGCTCTTCCGCAACCTTATGAGTGGTGTATTACGTTAACACGTGTTTCGGTATATCTCGAATATCGCACCCACTAAGATATAAGGCAGCCTGGTGCAGTATATGCAGTTGCTTAATAGAATCATAAACGCGAGATTCAGTTTGGTTCCAGGCGAAACCAGATTGGTATCTAAACAATTGTATTTTGCCAATTCCATGCAATTCGGCTTCAAGTAAAACATAAAGTTGACGAAAACTCGGGGAATGAGCCTACCTGATGAACACCAAGAAGGAAAAACCGGTCATGGATTGCTGAAGAGTTTTCAAAAAAACCTTATGAGTAATGTATGAGGTCTGAAGAAACTTCTGTGCCAAGAGCAGAAAATTGTTCGGCAATACATCCATCAATTGTTTACCAGGATTTTTGGAGACACGTGGTAGGTCGAAATCGTACATAAACAGACATTTTTGAAACGTCGTTGTATAGGTGGATTACCCTCTGAAAGAACCGTATTTTAAGAATTGTACGTAATTGAACAATAGCGTATTTTGCCTATGCACAGACTGGTCTTCGAAAAGACTTGTCAGTTGGATAAACATCCGTGGATAGAAATGCATCGTAATTTAATAGTTGCCTACAGATCTCACAAGAGGAATGCACAAAAGACAGACCCACATCACATGGAAGAAGCCTACATGAGGTTGCTTTTGACAGAGGCCATCACAATTATAAGAATGTTGAGGTACAAAACTCCCCACTCCTGTTCCCTTAGAATCTTGCAAGGTCGTCGGTATTGACTGTCGACTATCCAGTCAATGATTTATCTGAAATTGCAGAGAGTTACAAATCGTACTTTGTTTGCTAGCGGACAAGCAAGGAATGGTTTGTATGTACTTTGTATGTACTTTGGGTAGGAGTTCATTGAAAGAAAAACACATTCTTTGTTTGGAATTCAGGCTTAGGCCTATTATGTCGCTTCTTCACCCGTTGATTTTGATCATCATCGATAGTCGAATACTACTGAAGATTTCTATTGGGGTGTGAATAGTGGTATCGGTAGCTCTGTGAATGACAGTTTTGAGTAAACTCTTTTGATCTTTTCACAACAAAACGTCAGGAAATGCATTTTTGAACCTTTTTTCTTTTGATTGGAAACTAATGTTCAAAATTCATCTTACCAATTTCATTTGTAGATACAACAAGAATCGGCAGCATTGTATCGACTGGCAAACAAATGGAACCTCGATTTTGTTGAAGATACCAAATTGTGCCGACCTACTGAAGCAGCCAAACAGGCCGCACCAGTTCGCATGTATCAGATGAATGGCCCACTTCTGTTTATGATAATTGGTGCACTCAGTTCGCTGGTTGGACAATTTTGCCAGTTATTCTATTATTCTGTCATAAAAAAGGTAGGTTCTGCTGTTTAACTCACCTAATCCAAACGGCATTTCAGAATCCACCGGCACACAAAGTAAACGAAGACGATCCGGAATTAAATCTCCTTACGTGAACCATGGGATTTTATTCTTCAATATTTTCATTGACCAGATTATGGGTGTTAATATCAACTTTTCTACTTCTTGATTTTTGTGACAAATTTACATTTATATCCTTGTCATACAATCATCACTCATAGTGCCGAATGTCCGAGAGTAATGTTTAATGATGTCATGTCCCGTTAACTTTGATGGAAATAGGAGATCTAAACGGGGAATATTTATAATCGTCTGTAATCAAATAAGTGGATTGTGATTTCTTTGTTATACGGCTATCATGTCTTTTGTTATCAAACCTCTGTAGAATCGGAAGCTGACAACGAAAAGATGTGTGTGGACTGGCCATTCCTGTCCAAGTTGGATTTTTGTAGCGAAACTAAAAATTGTCCGCAAGTTTCAAACCCAGTCACGAAACGATAAACCAAACGCTACAAATTTTATACGTTGTACATCAAAAAGTGCCCATGGCGTGAGAGCCAAATAGCAAAAGATTATTGGACTGGCATAGATCAGTTAAGGGGAAACACCTAGTTTGAAGCTATTTGTTGAACAAAACGAGCTAAGCGCTTACAAACTACTAAACATGGAAGTAAAGCCCACACTTGCACAAAGTTTTTGAAAAAGTCAACGTATTCAGGCGTCCTTATGAGTTTTTGTGGACGTTGTCTGAATAACAAACAGCAATAAACGAACAAACAACAAATCCCTGGAGTTTCTGAGAGTCGTACTTTTGGTGATACTCAGCAACGTTTTTCAGCTCTTCGGCATACGTCGGTCCCACGTACATAAAGAATATCTACTTGAAAATACTTAACAAACAACCTTTCGTCAGATGCGGGAACTGTGCTTTAAGCTACCTCATCGGATACTGATTGCAGGCTTCATCCGTATCATACGCTGTTGAACAAATCTTCTAGAGTACATTTTCCGGCGCACCGCGTCACCTCCGTATCTGAATCCCATTTACCCATTGTGACCCCTGATTTTCCAGAATCCTATAAACTTCCTATTGGTGGCCAATATTGACGAGTTTTCCGCCATCGCTTCCTTTATTCAGTGAGTCCTGTCCACTCCTTGTAGGATTCTGGTGATTTTTTCACTTTACCGTCGCGTCTACGAGAAATGGTCTCCCGTATCCACCAACCATCTTCCGTTCATTCCGTTCCCAAAAGGCCTCTAGCCTCGCTCTCCTCCATTACTCGTTTAGCTCTTTCAGAGGCATGCGCGCTGTGCGCCGTAGTCATATTCTCCGATCAGCTGAGAGGTGCGGATTGCGATTGTACATAAGCATGAATTGGGCTTGGTTGTGATTGACTGGCGCGGCATCGTGCTTACAGCACAATTGACAGGTTTGCTTCCGAGTCACCTCCTCCTGCCGTAGCCATTGCTTAGTAGTTCGGCTATTACTTTCCTCTAGGCCATTTGTCTGGATGGTAGGATGCCATCCTTAATCGATTTGTGCCGAGCGTTTACAAGTCACTCCTGAGTTTTTCTGTTCTATAGCATGACTCCTAACCCAATAAGATCATAGTTATTATCCTATGGTTCACCACAATGTTGTGATTATTGATACTCCGGCAAACGTAGTCGCTCGACCTACCGCAAAGGTTGCTTTTTCATTGTCGCAAATTACTGACCGTCACTTAAAGAAGCCGTTTGACATCCATGAAGTGTTACACTTCGATTTTTACTACAGCAACAGGTTTTATCGGAGTGAGTTTCTCTTGTCATATTCTCCTTTGTTAGCCGGCATCGATGGCGTTCGACAACCTTTGTCTCAGACAGTACGTGGTGTTTGCTGTCTGCGAACCCGTAACCAGGCAGTTAACAAGTGAGTTTTCGGTTGTGCAACGGGATCTATTAGGCACCTCGTGAGTTAGCCACTACAAATTACGTTTGTACGTTTGCAATCAATAAATAGGAACGTAATTTCCAAGGGTGGTTTTCTATTTTTTAGGCATGCGCTTGGCAGGCGGACGACACATATGGAAACGAGAGACCGTCGTTCGTCATCGTGTATGTATGTATAATCAAGGCCCTATAAACGATGTCTCACATAGACACGGGCCTAGCAGTTATGATTAATAGACCAGTCGAGCAAAAATGCGTATAATTATGGATATGAACCGTCGTTGACCGTTAGAGTAGGCTATCACGTACAACTGAGGCCTCAAATGGGTCAGCCTGCATAGATCCTGGCCTGAAGATTACAACGAGTAACAAAGTTAAGCGACAGTGCTTACAGTTGCGAGTATGATGGGCCTTCGTTGGCCATGGGATTAGTTTACCGTGAATAGTTGATGCCTCATAACCACATAGAGGTAGGCTTGGCAGTTACGATAGGTAGCCAAGGTAGACGAGAGCACTTGCTGCTATCATGAGGACTGGCGTTGATTGGCCCCAATTCCTTTCATTGTAGTTTGGCTCGATGACGTACTTCAAGTCGAGAGCGTGATTATTCCCAGTAGGAGGGATATTGTGCTTTTAATTAGCTCGCGGTTATTTTATAACGCTGCGCTACCTACTGGCTACTTGTGCCAATCAGAAAATGGAAGTCATCTATACTATCATAAATGCCGCACAGTGCATTAAATTATATTTCAGCATTATACTAAACGGGAGGTGATGTTTCGAAAAACTGTGTGCATCGAAATTCGCCGGATAAATTAATCTAATTTGTTACGTTTGGGGGGTTCTACGCATGCAAACATCGATCCATTATTTTTCCGGGTGTAATCTACAATGAGCATTCTGTGGATGTTATCTCAGTTGTGAAGAGCACCACGGAATGCTGCAGCATACTCAAGTCTGATTTCTCATCCCGTGTACCAGTAATGGAGCGCGAATCAGGTGGCCGACGACCTTAAAATTTTGCTCACTTTAACAAAATGAAACATATCGCCGAAAAGTGCTGACGTACTGGACTAGGTCTACGTAAAAAACGCAACTTCAAAAACCTCGTAGTTTTGCATAAAACTATTTGTGTTTAATTCTAACTTACGGCAATCATGCGTTCACCCAACATTCGCAAAATGGAACTGAATTCTCGAAATCTATCGTGTTTTCAAGGTTACCACTTCATTGTGAAGAATGTCTATGTATAAATAAATTATTTTACAAATTTCTGCACGGGTGATTTGTTTAACTGAGCGAACCTTCAAGGTCATCTCCAATTGCGATCGCGGTAAAACGTAAATCGCTTACAATGGGCGAAATTTGCAGATAGTCCTGCAGTTGACACAATCCATTGAGCTTACTCGAAAAAACATGGCCCTTGACCAGTCGAACACGGAATTGTCCTCAGGGACCATGATAATTTCTGTTTCGTGTTAACATCGCAAAAGGCGCATCCATTATTGAAGGATAAATCTTGCGAGTCTGGAGGAACATAAGGCTTGCATATGTTGATGACCTATGCAGGTTTGTTTTTAAACAGCAGAGTTCTGCATTTAGCTGGAAAAATGTGCCAGGACTACCATGTCATCGATCATAGCGGATAGCGGAGCAAACCTAGCTGACGCACACGACTAACGTGCGGCTAGGAGTCCACGATGCCTAATCAGCTGGTCGATGCGCGCCCATCCATTCTGCCAGGCTAAAGGGTTCAAATTGTGCGACATGAATAACTGAATTTTATTTGTCCTTTTGATTAGCACGAATGTCCTGCCGAGAAACGAATGGCCTACGTGAAACGCAGTGTTCATTGAGCTACTGACATCCTGAAAGGAGAGAAATACTTAGGTTGGTTTATCGAAATTGCATTATGAAGCAGGCGGCTGACAAACTGGGGGCAATATACACCCCATAATGGGAGCCCTTCAGCGGCGACGATCTCTTGGAAACTTGTTTACGCAACACTACCTTCAACGCCAGTTCTTATAGCGTAGTTCATACTGATTATAAGTCGTAGTGGTAAGACATAAACTCACGACTGTTAATCAGCTCCTCCTTGGAGTCGAAAACACGGAAGTACACAGACTTCTGGGACAAATTGTGTTGAACATCCCATTCATTGCCTGCGTTCATGCCGGCAACTTTTGCATGACAAAACTCTTCGCTTTATACTGCTCGCCGATTATTTCCTTGAATAAGCTGAACAGATTGTGCATGGGGACTAACTGTTCGCTTTCCACTAAGGCGTACATAACCGGATGCCCATTCTCTATGCCAGTTGTGACTAGGAGGGTGCATAGCTTGTATCTACGAGCCAGATGTTTCTACGAGCCACAGATGTGTGGCCCCAAAAAAAAATTACCCAAAAAGTTTGCTGCTTGCGTTCTGCCAATATTTATTAAATCTGGGCCGTCGAGACACCTATAAATCCCGCCATCTGGAGAAGCATATATGGCTATGGTAACCACCCACCAACTGAATCACAAGCACACTTCCGTTCTCCTGATATACTGTCAGGACCGGAGGCCATCGTCTGATAAAACGAAACTCAACAACTCGTCACTAACCAGCAGAGATGGTCGACACTTCCGACGGTATTTTTGTGTGTCACGAGTTCTTACAACCCCGTTGGATTTATCGGCGTTCCATACTTCAACACAGCACTGCAGGTGTCCAACTTCTCTTCAGTTGGCCGTCGAACTTCCGGGGGCCAATCGCGTAGAACCTCATGATGTTGTTCAAAGCTATCAGAGGAACCGAGGCCTGGTTTCCTTGTCTCATTAGAAAAAACAGACTAAAGAGTCGGTACCGCGCGTATTGCTTGTGATTGGAGAACATGCACAGCTCACTAGATTCTTTGGATTCCTCAATTTTCTGCTTTCTATTGCTGACTACCTCCCGCATTTGTAGTCCACCTTTCCGCAACGCAAAACAGCGCTGATTCTTCTATTACTGAATGAACGCGCAAAAACCACATTGCATTCACTCACCGCGCTCTCAAACGCCTCGAAATATGAAAAGGATACAGCCCATTATTTCTCAACAAATATATATGAGGGCACGTTTGAATCCGAAGCACAGCAACTTCAAAGTCGAATACTCACCACAACTTTAGGAGGGAGATTAATTAAAAAAAATCGCTGCAAAACGGAGGTAAATTAAGATTATATTTGTTTGGGTGTAATACAACAAAATGCTATATTTCGTGGTGAAATATTTCATTCCAATTTCAAAGATTTTGCCGACAAGAGCACTGTAGGTCCAATGATTTGAACTAATGCAGCCATTTATCACCCTAATGAGTCCGGCCCTTGCTGTTTGCTTTTTTTTCGATCGCCGACAACACTAGCGGAATTAATGAGTACTCGGGAGAATTCCTCTAATTTCGCGAATCATGCTGCATGAAGGGATGTGGATAGACAA